TGCCCACCAGCCAATACTGAATTAAAGTCCCTATCAGCCAAGAAACTGGAAGTGTTTCATCTCAAGAGGAAGGGAGATGAACGGCAGAAGCTGAAACTCTTGCTTTATTTTATTTCCCTTTTTAAAAGGCTGATGCTGTCTTTTGCTTCATGTTTTTAAAAGCTCACATGAAGGATTCTTCACTGGGAGATTTAATTTGCTCTTAGAGCTACAAGAGGAGAACCGCCCATCAACTAAAGCAGATTTCTTCTCCACCATGCAGAAGGCAGAAGAGCCACTTTGCAAACTGCCTGCAGAGCTGGGGGAAGGCAGGGGTCAGAGCCAGCCACGCTCTTGTTGTGGACCACCAACACCAGCCCCTGCCACAGCCCTGGGGCCTGGCTGTGTCTCCTCTCTGCTGGTACCGTGGTCCAGCTCTCGCCAGTGAGAGCTGCCATTAACAAACCAAAGCAGCAGCTTCTCTCCAAGACCCCCAAAACTACCCTCCTGGAAAGGAGGGGCTCACAGGAGAGCTGGACTGGTACATTAGGAACAGGGGAAATGGCAGGAAGATGTGGCAGGGGAGGGTGAGGTTGGCCATGAGGAAAAGGTTCTTGAGGCAGAGGGTGGTGGAGCACTGGAACAGGCTCCCCAGGGAGGTGCTCATGGCACCAAGCCTGACAAGATTCCAGCAGCATTTGGCCAAGGCCCTCAGGGACATGGTGTGAATGTTGGGCTTGTCCTGTGCAGGGACAGGAGTTGGGCTCCATCATCCTGGTGGGTCCCTTCCAGCTCACAGCATTGGATGATTCTCTGATGCTGTGATTTTTTGCAATCCTCTCTTTGCTAAACAACAAACTCTCCCATCACTGAACCCCTCAGCCAGTCTCAGTTCCCTCTCCTCCAGCTCAAGAACCACCAACATGTCAAAGCAAGCGTGAGTTTTCACAACTTCCCCAGACCCTGGTGAACCTTAATGGAAAGTAACCCAGGCAGAGCCATGGGAGCCTGGCCGAAGCCTCCGGCTCCTCCGGGCTCTCCTCCAGCCAACACCCCACCTTGCCAGAGAGCAGAGCAGCAGCTTCTGGCTGATAACCTGATCTAGGGCACTTTGATAACAGCAACCCACAGGGACCACAGAAGTGATGACAAAAGCATTCTGCATAACAGAGTGTGAGCAAAGTGCCAAAACACTGTTTATAATGAAGAACTGATAAGGACCAAAATGGTGTATTTGCTGCGTTAACGACTCTTGTTTCACAATATCCACCGGGTTCCTGGGTCACAATGTGAATGTTTAACAACGAAATAATCACTATAATTAATCTGCTGTCTTGCATCATTCTGCCCATTGAACTTTCTAATTTTTGCCTTGCACACAGCATGAGCAGGGACGGGGCACTGCCTCTTTCACCCAAATATCTGTAGCATCAATTAGTGACAGAAATGGAAAGATGATCTTCAACGTTTTTAAACCACCGTGGTACATAATCCTCTGAAAAATGCAGAACCTCCTGGCCGAGTTCTCCTCTCTGTAAAAGGCAAAGTGCCTGTGGGCACCCAAAAAGGGTCATTTTTGGGACATGCAGGCGGGTGTCCACCCTCACCACATGTTGCAGCCCACGTGCAGGAGCACAGCTCAGCAGCTGATGACGGCGAGGACAGGGGTCGAGGAACATGAGAACGGGGCCCGTCAGGTGGGGAAGGGACAGCAACACTTTATCCCGTGCTAACGCAGCCTCAGTCCAAGGCCCTGGTTAAGGGCTGGGATGCCAGACAATCTTCACGCTCCCCGTCAACGTGACAGCAGAGGAAACCGAAGCCTGATCCTGTTACGGGAATCATCTCTTCCATCGACACCAGTAAAACCGCATGGGAATGGCACGGGAATTGCAATCCGTTAGTCACGATTGGGGCAAGGACTTTGTCCGAGTGGGAAAGGCGGGACCAGGGC